AAAACTACGTAATCTCTGTAGATGCCAGGCGCAACTATTACCACTTGCTGTGGAACTGAGCTACTAAAGTTTAATAGAAAGTTCATTTCCTGGAAGAAACCAGGCAAATACCAAACTAGAAGAACTTTCTGTCATTGACCTGCAGAGAAGCCTACCAGGAAATTTTCATTTGCTCAGCTTTCACTCCTTGGAGTAGGGTGCTGTGGCTTTTCTCAGTTTAATATCTCATCTCTGTAAACTTATTGCTGAATTTGAAACATAGGTCACAGAGGTTCCAATCTTAATTAGGCATCTGATGTACTTCAGCTGTAAAGGGGATCATTTTCAGGAAATCAGCATTCCAAAATTGTGCAGTCAAATATATTTTCTTCTTGAGAAAGGTAGTCTGTGTAGCTGCAACTGTGCCACCAAGTACTGGGTATTTGTTGGGGGCCTTGTAGCACCCTCAGCCATGGGGTGTGAGAGTGTCAGGTTGCATCATCAAAAAAAGTAAATGAAACCAGAATGCTAATATTTTTGTTTTTGTAGCAGAAAAGCTGAAACCTGTAAAATAAATACTAGACCTACACTGCATGCAAACTCTTTTTTTAATTAATAAAACAATCTAATCTAGGGAATAATGAAAAGTCAAGTATGTAACACTACTATAGGTACCAACTTGTTCTAACAGCTGAAGAAAAATGAATTTATTCTATCCTAGACATGCAGATGCCCATTTTACATATTTAGGCCATTTTTTTTACCCAGTCAGACTTCCAAAAACTGAGCCTGTGGTTACTAATGAGCCTCCAAACTGATGATGCATTTATTTGTGAGCCAAAAAATTCTGCTACATATGAGGCTACATATGAGGAAATCTGAATTAGCTTCTGGCTACTTGTATGTGCCTACTTTGGCTAATGAATGAATTTTACAAATTACTCATATTCCATGTTTTGACAGAAATACCATCTTTTATTACAATAGAACCTGCAGTCACATGCATAAATATTGGTGCAGTAAAAGATATTTTGATTGGCTGTTTCCTGACAATTGACACTAAATTCAGTTCTCACATCTGTTACCAGTTTCACTTCATCCAGCTAGAAAAGGTGTTTCAAGAAGTAAAACACTGCTGTTTAAAGGTGCACATTCTCCTTCCCTCTCTCCCTCCCTCCCCATTTTATAGAGTCACATAGGTTAAAACAGAAAAAGAAATCCAAAGATAAAATATTGATGTACAACAATCAAGCTAAATGCATAAAGTACTGTTGAAACAGCTATTCCTGGGCAGAAAAATTATTGAAAATGCATTATCTTAAAAAAAAGATGTGTAAGAATAACAAAGCCTGATTTTCAGATTTTCAAATGTCTTTCTATTGAAAGCTGAACCTGGACAAATAAATTATAATATTTTTGGAATAACTGAATAATTATCTTTCACTCCATTCCTTTTCCTATCAGCAATATGTCTATGCTACCCAAAATATTTAGGGTCATGAGGTTTTATTTGTATGGAGCTTCAATACAGAAAATGAAAGACATTCTGTCATTACTAGTGTTGCAGATGATATCTGGGGGTGAAGAGTTTAAATCACTGTTTTCTTTGAGTGTTTTGGGGTGATCTCTCATGTCCAGCACCTCCTTTGCTCATCAACATGTGGTTTGAAGTTCTGGGACATCCAGAGGGGCGTATTTGGAGAACTAGAATGAAAATTAATTTTAATTCCACTTTGCAGTACCTTTGCCCATTTGCAAGGCAATAGAGACTCATCATTCATTACTTATTGCAAACAGAAGGGGAAAATGTTTAATTTTGAAATGGACGTGTGATTAAGATGCCTGATCCCTGGTGTAGCACAGAGTGTATCAAGAAACCCAAGGAAATCCAAGCTGTTAGGTACTGACACAGTATAATTAAACTTTACATTTTCTGAAAGAGTACTGGCAAAAACTGAGCTTATTAATTCTAAATTAAAGCTTTTATTCTGATCTGTCTACAACAACCTCCTCTAAAAAGGCTCTGTTTGCGAGATATTCAGGTTACATTCACACATTTATTGAGGTATAGAAAAAGACCTGACAGATTTTTATCACTTTAGTACAAATAAAAATGAACATATGTAATTATGTGACCTCCTAAGGAGGACTGATTTTTGAGTCCTTAGTCTAGCAATTGGCCACACTCTGTCCTCCATCTACCAGAGTTGTAAAATCTGCCCAAGAAGTGACTGCAGTGGAACCTGACAAACATTATGGAACAGATAATGAGCCCATATTTAAAAGCTGATTTATTGCACAATAGACTGCAGAACGAAAATATCTCTATATGTCATTTAAGTGTTTTATTTATGCAGGGTTGTTTTAATTACTGTTATACCAGATCACTAGCCATAGCTCTCAAAGTCTTGTGGAATTTCCCATTATGCTTAGTGATATTGCTAGAAGCCACCAAATGAAGGTGATAAGAAGATAAGCAAAGCACATTAGGAACTGCTAGGTTTGTTGTGAGTTGGGCATAAAAGAATTTTTAGATGAAATGGCAATTTCCTCTGCTTCACCTGAAACCTACAGATTCATAAGTGAAGTATGGGGCTCAACTCATGAAAAATTAGCCCTTTAGAAGCTATCTGAAACATCTAGTTTCTTGTAGTCTCCACTGTGTTGGCTCAAGATATGAATTGTTATCCTTAGTAAGGCACCCATATGACTTGACTTAAATGATGCTTTAAATCTGAAACAACTGATGTGGCACTAGCTCTGAATTGCAGCTTTGTGGCTGAGATTATTAAACGCGTGCCATGACATCTGTGCAGCCACAGTTTCCGTTTGCCGACCATCTGCAGCCAATCTGATCAGCCCATGCAGTCACACGTTGCTTTATAACCTTGACCAGCTTAACTGAGGTGGAATAATTGAAGATAATTTTTGTAGCACAGGCAAGCTTTTGATAGATTTAGAGCACTACGGCTTTACAGCACCATGCATTTATGCTAGAGGGCACTCATATTTCGTTCTGAGCAGTATCAGAGCTTGGTTTGTAGAACGTGCATCCCCAAAGCACGGCACCAACAGTAACTTTCTGGGGGTGCTGTGAGGTAGGTGCGTACATAGATCCCTGTTTTACAGATGAGGAAACTGAGGCAGGAAGCTTAAAGTATTTGATACAGATCACAGCAGGAGTTAAAGAATGTTTAACCCAGGTATTAAAGGAAGACATAGCATTCAAGACAACTTGAGAATTAGTCTCAAAAAAGCCAGCTCATTTTATATATATGTATCCATACATATATATCTGTGCAGATTAATGCTGGATGTGAATTTTTATTTTTAAAACTAGAGACCTTGCTTTCTTATTCCAAAATTCTGTGAGAAAAATGGAAGGCTTTAGGAAGAGAACATAAAGAGCTATGTCTGTCCCTGGTTCTCCAGGGAGTGAAACGTAGCTCTTGTCTGCAGTGCCTATATAGTAACAGAGCATTTAGTGGCAAAGGCACAATGTCATAGAATCATTTAGGCTGGAAAAGAACTTTAAGTCCACCTTACATTGCCAAGTAGGATTAATTTTACAGGCACATGAACCTCATAGGTTCACAGTATAAGGTCAGCTTGAGGAATTTTTTCTTTTTTTTTTAATTTTTCCCATGCAGCAGGTATTTACTAGGCTGAGAATTTCACTCCTTCCTTTCCAACTAAGTGTTCAGTAAAGTATTGTAGTGAAATCTGGAAACATACGGCAGCATGTGATTTTGTCTCCTCCCTTCCATGCTGTCACACCTCTGTAAGAAGAGGAACTCATCTCTGAAGACAGCTCCTGCAACTGAGAATTCACAGCTTAGGAAGGAAATGTCTGAGTAAGAACAGAAAATGCAAGTGATTTGTCTGTGGCAGGATAGAGGCAACGTTTGTCTTGAAGGGGCTTGCAGCCAGATGTCAAGACTTCCTGTCTTTACACACTTCTCTGAAAGACTCCACCAACCTGCATTTTTTGTGAGATGCTGAAAATCAACAATTTCATTTCCACAGTACAGCCTAATAAATTCTTCACATCTTCCAGGAATGTCTCTTAAGACTGCTTCATTTTGCTTGCTTCCTGTGATGATTCATATAGATTTGAGAAGAATATTTTCAGAAAGCAAATACCCTTCTACTCAACACAGATGGATTCCTGAAAAGTTCTGCTGGTATCTTAGAGTTTGGATAGTGAATTTTCCCATGAGAATAAACATAATGAAGGGATGCATGTTAGGACTTACAGAATACACGGTTTAAACACACGGGGATATCTGTGGCATGAGAGAGACAGGAAAAAAATCAATGTGGTTTTCCAGAGGAAATGCTGGCTTTAAAGAATTGAGAACCCTTTCTGAAAACCCTGATCTTCTTAGCCAGGAAACTGTACCCCTGATTGCCTGTTTTGTCACCCGTTACTCTTGACTTGTTCCATTTTGCTTCATCTAAGATAATGCTATCAACTATGAGAATGCAACTCCTCAGAAAGAGGCACCCAATTCTTCATCAGTCTCGGAAGATCAGATCCTCTGGAAAAGTGAAGGATGTGAAACATTCCTGCATGTTCAGTCCTGTCACTACATCCAGGAGACTGAACTTGCAATGGAAATATTTAACTATGAGCATTCTTGGTGTCTCTTTCTGAACAGCTCAATTTTCATTTTCATCATAATCTTCCTCATATGAAACGATCATTCAAGTTTGAGGGGTGACAAAGAGTGCAATGATGACATTTGCCTGGTCAAGGTATTGAGAAAACATCCTGGGAATCAATGGACAAGTAGGGTGCTGCTGCAGCCCATCACAAATAAGAATTTTCAGAAACCACATGGCAAAGAAATGGGTTTTGATATAACTGGTGACACCCAAATAGGAAAACACAGCCATCACCATGAGTCTTACTTGATCAATAGACATAGAGAGTTTTGAATAGTTGCTATCAATGGACACCTCATAATAAATTGTAGCTGAAAAAAAAGAGAAAAATTTAAATATATTTTTGAGAAAATTACAATCTGCTTAGGGACATTGTGAGCAGGCTTGTTTCGTTGAATAAAGCATAAATTGTGAATCATAGTTGTTCAGCTCTTCTAATAGTCTGGAAGTCTCTTAGGATTTAAAGCAAGCTGAACAACTGACAATCTTGGAGGAATTCAAGTGTGGTTTTATAATATCTGGTTCAACCGACTGAACTGGATCACTCTCACTAGCAATTATGTGTTTCACCAAGCATCTGGAAGCTTCATTGATGTTTATATTTTCCTGCAAATGAAAGAGAGGTTGATTAGTCAATAATAATCAAAACATGTTGCATATTTCCCATGCATAATTAAAATTTTCTCTCAGTAACATCAAAAGTTTACTTACCGTAATAAACAGTTTTCAAAAATTGACTATGTTAAATTTCCAGTTAAAACTGGAGTTTTGAAGTTGGTTACATTTTATATATATTATGATTCATGTATCTTTTAAAATGTATACAGAGCTGATTTTAAATTACCTCAATCTCTTGGTGATTTGATTGCTTCAACAAACTAAAAAAACAAATGCCAGAGAGGTGTTGAAGACCAGTGCCTGAAGTAAAGCTCCAAATACCATATTTCACTGCTTGAATAATGATTTTTCAATTCCACATAGTTAATTACCTATCAGTAATTACAGCCATGCATAGCACTTATTTTTTAAAGCCTCTCCCACAATTTCAAGAAGATTCCTGTATGTAATGCTCACAATGAAACCTGTGATGGATCAGTTTCATTGAATAAATGATACCATCTCAAATTACTCACAAAACAGTATAAAGGTTCTGTCTAATTCTGAGTCCTCCCTTATTTCTTGTTGAGGCTGACTGCAATGCACTGCATCTCCAATGCACTGATTCAGAAGAAATATATCACCATTGGTTTCATTTGTAGGACAGAAATCCTTACTCTAGGGGTTTAAAATGAAAGCTAAAGCACATCTTTTCCTACATGTGCCTGATATCAACTGCACATTTTACTTGCAGCAGCAAGTTCTACTTACCCTGTTTGTAGAATAAGTAAAGCTGAAACAGCTTGATCAGTGAGACACAGCTCAACACAGCATAGAAAATAAGCTGTAGTACTGAGTAAAGATTTTTTTTTTTTTTGTAAATAACAGCCACCAATATGTTTGGAATGAAAATTCAAGTTTTCTGGCATAAAAGGCACTATTCTAGTGTAACTATTAACATTGATTACTTATTTTACAAGGCAGGAGATAGAAACCTCACTGTAGCTTCAGTCTTCTAGGAAATAGTATCACACAGCCACATGCATCCATATGGAAATGCATACCAATATATAGGCATACATTTGTGTATATGCACACACAACTTTGGCTCACTAAAGATAATGTTTTATTTGCAGCCTGCAATTACCCAGATTTTCAAGTTGAATCACTGAGTCATAGAATAGTTTTGATTGGAAGGGACATTTAAATGCTATCTAGTCCCAATTCTCAAGCATGTCCAGGTCCCTCTGGATGGCATTTGGAGCCTGCTGTACTGAGGCCATAAAATAGCTATAAAAGAAAGAAACGTGTGTGTTTCAGTAGAGAAGACACATTTATAAGAAAATCAAAAGCTGAAAGAATGGATTCTGTGAGACTGACTTTGTCCAATGCCCTTGAAATCAATGTAATGTCAAAACTCCACAAATTCCATTGTCCATCCCTTTGCACCACAGTAAAAGGCTGAAATCTGTAGATCAAACTGAAAATGTTAATTAGTGCAAGATTTTCATAGGTTTCTTCAATGACATACATGAACTTAAATATTTTGTATGTAAAGAATAACATTTAAATCCCCAATACTTTAGAGAAGTACATATTAATGTACATAGTAACTGCTAGAAAGTAATAGGGGCTGGGAATTGTCTCTCTACTGAGATGTTAAAATTCTGCTGTATCACATGACTCTCTCAGACCTGACTAGAAAATTCCTCAAGTATGCACTGAGAAGCCTTTTCAGAGCACTGTGAAATTTTTTGAAAAAAACCTCAGACAATGAAAAATATCTCTCAGCACTGCTCAGAAAACTGAAGTCAAAACAGGATTGTTAAAAGCACAAAAATAGAAAATGTAAAATATTTAATATGGCTTTTGTCTTTACTGATGGACTGGTGAGCATTTCATTTGCCCATGTGCTACTTCTGTGTGAAATGGCAGAATGTGTTTATTCAATATGATCTTAGGAACTATCTAGGATTCTGCCGAAATTGATTAATGTTCAAATGTATTAACAGCAGCCACCTTTGTCAGAGGCTACCATTTTACAACATTGGGAAAGGAACCAAGCCTACAATAGCATAAAATGGGAATATGTGGACATCCCTCATCCCTGCTGGTGATAGATGGAAATCCATGTGCCAGACATGAAACTAAAAGTGCAGAAGAAAAAAAAATGCTCCAGCCAGTACTCAAACAGGGTAAAAAAAAAGGAGGGAGAGAGGAAGGGAGGGAGGGAATAAAAAGTCCTGTCCTGAGTCTAGAGAGGCAGTTTCTCATCTTTAACATTTATATGATCTCCTTAATCTTGGAGATGACAATTTCAGCTGGGGTACAAGGGGAGCAAGAGGAAGGGTGACCCTGGCAGACAGCACAGCCAGTTTTGAGTTTGTGTCTAGCTCCAGCCTGCTTCCATGGTTCAGATGACAACTGGCACACAGTATGGATGAGAAGCAGTATGTTAAGTCACCTGCTGCAAGGAGCCTGTGGTCATGCCAACAAAGCAACCCCTGCTGTCCCAGATCCCTGCCTTGACCACTTCCTTTCAGATGGTACTACTGCCTTTTGTTACAAACTTAATCCTGTGGCATCCTAGACCTGCAGATCAGACATTTCTGTATTCTGGTCTGACTAATGAAATATTGATTTCTCCCCCTCTCCTCCTGTAGTGTGTTTTGCAAAAGAACAATCTGTATTCAGCTAGGCAGTGAAAAAGCTACAGACAGTAGAAGGTGATCTTCTATCCAAACACAGACATCCAGAGGCCTGGTGATTTTAGGGCCAATGAAGTGTTGAGAGGCAATCAAGGAGAGGAAAGAGAAAAAAGAGAAAGTGAAAATCCATTCAAACACAAAGAAACCAACAATCAGAGCGTAAGATTGGACAGAGAGGAATAAACACAGACACCCTACTGATGGTATTGAGACATGGAAACTGCCTCAATTATACCTGAAAATAAAATTAATTATGTTTCAAAAAATATAGGTGAGACAGTGGAAAAATATCTTTCAGTGGGTCTCTATGTTGAAATGCCATAACTGTCACCTCCCATACAGCTTTGTCCTACAAAAGAGCACCACAGGAATTGTGATGATTGCTGAAGTTAATTCTCCTCTCCCTCTCCCTCTCCCTGGTATTACTCAGCACTGCATCTTTGATGTGTTTATCTGGCCAGCAGCTTTCTGTGATAGGGAAGTACTGCTATGGCCATTTGTCAAAAGGAGAAAACACAGAGCCACATGAATTCTGGTCCAGCATGTGGTGGCTAGCTGGAAAGTGGGAGATAGCATAGGATGAAATCCTCATATGATAAGGTAAGAATGCAACACTTTCTCAAGAAAAGCTCTTTCCCAAGAGAGAGTTTTTAGTGCAAGCCAGAAAGGATCTTACCCACATTATGGTGTCTTTATCAGTCTTGTATTCCTGATTTGGCATGCTAGCCTTTATAAAAGCCTTTCCCAAACATCTTGCCTTGCCCTGTCCCTTGAGGTGCCTAACCCATTTCTGTATGGCTCAGTAAGCCCCAGCATCTGATACACTATCCCAGTCAGTGCAAAAGCTGAGTTGTGAATCCATCCCTAATGATTTATCCTGCATCAACCTGCCAAAATCTGCCAGAGCAAGGATCTGAACCCTGCTTCTGTGACAACACCTGACTACTTGTGCCAGTCTTTCTCCTGGCTTCATCAAGAAGGAATGGAAAAGTGAAAATCAGAGCATGCTACTCTTTATTCTATTACCAAACAAAACAAGGCAAAGAAAATAACTCTGACTAATCTCTGAATTCCATAAAGGAACACTGGAGGATATAAATGAAATTAGTGTTTGCTTTGTAGATCAATATTATTAAAATATATCCTTTCAAAGGGTACTTTTATGAAAAGGATAGCAACTGAGGGCAGGGAAAGAGAGCTGCATTATTTAAAACCCTTGAACTGATTGCTATTGAAAATAATGTCTTGTAAGCAACAATCAGCTAAAGGGAAAATAAATACATTATTGAATGTGACTCAAAGAAGTACACAAGCTCAGCAATTGTTTTTGATTTAGGATTACCTTCCCCCTTATTGTCCATCCATACTGCAGATGCAGAACACTAACATTTAGGGCATTCAATTTTAATATCTGAAACAAGTTTGCACAGATCGGTCTAGCTCTAAGCTCTTTGTAGAAGAATAAAGACCCTGACAAGTTTTAAGGGCCTGTCTCACTTTCTGATGAAGCAACTTGTTTCTTTACCATGCACATATCTTAGATTTGACTATCTGGTTGTTTTCTGATAGAATGTTTTTCCCTTTTTACATTGACAGTTTTTCCTCTTACTGAATCTGAAGCTGCTGAGTCTTCCCTTGAAAACCAGGGTGAGGAACAGTGTGTATGCAGGCACAGAGCGCTTGGGGAGCTCTAAATCAGCGCTGCCTAGAGACATGACCTCAGACTACTACTGCAGTTGAAGGAAATTGACTTCCCATAAGTAAACATTTACAAATTGTGAAATATTCAGGTATTAGATGGGAGCCTAGTTAGAAGCTCATAGCTTCCACATTTTATTTCCATACTAAAAATCCAGGAGTAAAGAAATTACCTGAAAGATATTTTAACCTGCACTCCTCTTGAGCTAGCACTCTGAGGGAATGGCTCCACATGCTCCCTTAGCAGAACTCCCTGGAAACTGCTGGGAACAGAGCCTTATTAAGATGGTGTGCTGTACTCCTGCAGTGGTGTTTCTAGGAAAATGCAGCCATACAAGTTAAAAGCCATCTGGATGCATGAACATGAAATTCATGGATGTGAACTGCAGTGACTGCAACTCTGAAAACAAGATCATTTCTGTGATTGAATTCTTACAGCTGGTTGAATACCCTGTCACAAAATTATTTCAATTAATGACTTTCTGATTTCAACAATTTTGTGTTTCTCTGAATTTTCAAATTTGGAACCACACTAAATAATGCATTTCATAAAAGTGATCCAGAGAGCTACATGACAGCTCTAATACCCATAGGATAATCTGAATTGACTCCTTTTAATTGCAGGAAACAAACTCTGCAGAGGATTCTGCACAGAGTGATTGTACATCTGAAATGAAATTTCCTGCCTTAAGTGTCAGCTTTACTTTTATGGCAGAATCTGAAATATTTTTTTAAGACTGTACTGTGAGATTGGTTAGATGCTTTTTGAGTGAATAAAAAAGACAATCTAGGGAGCCACACATCCCTAACTGGGTCTGGCAGTCTCAAATGGATTGCTTGGATTTAAGTTACCAGATCAGCAGATTAGTTTAGAGTGTCAACCTAATTCAAATACATGTCCAAACCTTGTTTTTCTTTATGGAAATCAGAACTGCTTATCCACTTCCTCTGCAAATCTACTGCACAGCTTGCTTTTTACATCTGTCATAATAATTGTTCAGTCAAAAGAACTGAAGAACCTGTGGGTAAACAAGGCTAGTAGAGCTTGGATTATTCACAGAATTCCCTGGTAAGATTCATTAATTCAGGAAGAATTAATATCCTTGCTTTTTGAAAGAGAGACTGGAACAGAGGAGAGAATGACTTTCTGAAGGCAACATAGCAATGGCAAAGAGGACTTTTAATTGCTGGTCCAGCATTTGGGCCCTGTAGGGGGTTGGAACCGGGTGATTTTTAAGGTCTCTTCCAACACAACTAATTCTGAATCTATGTTGACATACCTTGGACTGCCTGTCAAACAAAAGCTAAATAAAGGACATCTTACTATCTACATTTCTTAGAGGCAGAACTATAACACTGTCCTGGTCCAAATAGGATGTATCCAAATAGCCCAGAGACTCAGACTGCTCATCAGTCTCTAGGTCAGGAGACAAGGAGCTGTGTGATTAACCTAGTTTTGTAAGGATCTGAAAAGCACATCTACCAGCCTTTCTGGGCAATTTGGACCAAACATGAATGTCTTTTCATCTTATCTCTATTGCTGACAGCAGAATTACAGCAGGGAAAAGAGGAACTCAGGCATAATAACAGCACAACCATGGCCAGTTGAAAGGTATTTCAAGTTATTTCTGAATTAGGTACTTTCAAGCACACTTATTTTTGCCTGACTTGTCTATTTTGTTGCACAAGTTCCATTTTCATTGTGAAGTGATAATAAGCTTGAAATTGCTCCTTTTCTAATCCAAGTCAAAAGCTCACCTCTTTGAACTAGGCATGGTGGTGAAAACAGTTTAAAGGCTTGGAAATGTGACTGGAGCTCTCAGCTGCTCTGGCCATGTTGTGGATAATTAAATGTGTGACAGGAAGAAGAAATTTCTTTCCTTTAAAAGAATGAATCTTTTGCAATAGTTGTGGTCATGAAATTTATTAAAGAATTCACTATTAAGGGTTATTTGGTCACTGTCTGGGGATGTACCTCTTAGACTGCAATCAGTATGGGTGAAGTAAATATGCAGATATAAAAGAGACCAGGCTCACCACCGGATATATGACAACAGTGTAACTTGTGACTGTGCTGTGAGGTGGTGTTGCCCAATAAGGCCCTTCTCACAAGGAAAACTATCCAAAAAAAACCTTCTCTCTTTGTAGAGAAAAGATTGAAAGAGGGTTATTTCCTTCAGATTAATGTAAAAAGCAAAGAAAATACATAAGACTGCATTAGGTGGCTCAAATATTTTATATTGGAGCTGTTAACTTACAAAAATAGTACCAGGCTATACAGTGGTTTTTTTTGGTGTAATCTTCCAGCGCTACAGACAAAAGCTTAAAACATTGACAGCTTGAAATATAGTAGGTACATATATAGCAAGCTACCTTCTGCAAGGTAACCAGAACAAAAGATGTTCTTTTTATAAGTAATCCCCTTTGTTTTTCCAAAATGCATAAATCATATTTAGTTTGCTCTCAAGGCTTTAACATTTCTGAGCACATCTCCAGAAAACCTCTGGAGATCTAATTATTCCAGGATACCACAAAAAGAGAGTTATTACTTATTTGAACTGCTAAAACTGATAGCTGCAATATGATGACTCCTTTGTCCATGCTATTCTGCTTCAGAAGAGTTCCTATTCTCTGTAGCAACCTGAGTTAATTTTTTTTTCTTGGAGCCAAGTTCAATTACTTATGATGCCCTAGGCAGAAAGAATAGCAGGTATCTACAATATACAGAATTCTAAAATAGTAGTAATATTAACTTTTGTGTAGAAAAGGAAATGTAAAGTTTCATTTAGAACTTAGATCAAGTGGGGAAACTTTTTGATCTAATTTAGTTTAAATGTTGTGATTCTACCATCTTTACTGGAATGACTCTCTGCATAATTTTAAAGTCAGAAGCCTCCAATTCTGGGTGGAAATCAGGTGTGTGGACTGCAGAACAACAGGTCCTTGCCTCTGGTGTATAGAAGCAGAGAATAGTCTGCTAACAGCTGTGTGCCCTCAACTCTCATAATTCCCTTCAGAGTGGTTTTTGAAAGCAAGTCTTGTCATAGCTGGGTTTTTTTTTCCCTGTTCTTACATGATTGCATTGTCAGTGTGGGGACTGCTTGGGTTTTGGAGTTAAATAACATAAGAAGAATCTAGATATTTACCATGTCTAAAATAGCAGAAATTCTTAATTCTATGCATCTTAGAAACTTGGAAAAATTTCCTATGTTATGACTTTAAAAAATTGTTGTTCTCTATACATCTTTTATACTTCCATAGTTCTGCCCCAGACTGGCTCCATCATCATCATCAAACCTCTCTGTGATCTTTGAAATAATTTGCATATTCATTTTCTCTCATGACGTGCAATGGTTCTTAGCACAATAAATGTGGTTGTCCTTTTTGAGTGGTGGACATGTGCTTGCTGGGGACTGATGTATGGAATGCATGGTATAGGTTCCATTCTCATAGTAAAATGTAGTTTATCATAAAGAGGAACACTGGATTCTCTTGGCCTCACCCAACACAAATCAGCAGGTGAACCACAGACCTAAATACAGAGCAGGTGCTGCACATGAAGGAATAGGAAGTACCCTGTTGTGGAGAAAGATAGTTCACACACTTACCTAGACCATTTCTCCCTATAAATGGCATATTAAAAAACAGTGGCTGGATTTGTGACCCATTCAGTAGAGAAGCAAAGCCATTAATTACAAAGACATAGAATCATAGAATCATAGCATGATTTGGGTTGGAAGGGACCTCTTCAAGTCATCTTGTATAACCCGCCTGCCAGAGCAGGGATATCCTCAGCTAGACTGGGTTGCTCAGGAATCCAATCTAGCCTTGAATGTTTCCAGGGTTGGAGCATCCACCATGCCTGGGAGACTTGTTCCAGTGTTTTGCCATCCTTGTCAGAAAAAAATATTTATCTCTAGTGTAAATCTACCTTCTTTTAGTTTAAAATCACTGCCCCTTGTCCTAGGACAACAGGCTCTCATGACACATTTGTCCCCATCTTTTTTATAAGCCCCCTTAAGTACTGAAAAGCTGCAATCTCAGCCCAGAGTTCATGCAATGCTTAAGGCAGTCTGGAATATGCTGCTATTCCCCTGCTGTTACTTCTGCTGATTACTAGTAGAACATCTTTTAAATATTAATGCTTAAAGGTGTCAAAACCAGAAAAGTAAAACACAAATAGACACACTAAAAGTTCTTATGTACCTTACATAAAGTGTTTAAAAGGAATTAAACAATGCATTTAGTAGCCTGGAAGCCAAAGTGTAGCATTTTGGCTTCCAGACTACTAGAAATCTAGGTTAAACCAGAACCAAACTGTTACATTTCAAACATCCAAAAGTTCCCCAGAGCTGTCAATGATGACACGAGCTTTCCTAATATGAGGATACAACCAGCACAATATCCACTGAATTGTTGTGTTCAAATCAATATTTCACATGCCAGCTCTCCAAATTCTGCATGAACTGAAATTATCTGAGACATCTCAAATTGATCTACAGTACCAATGTACTTTCAGCCTTTGTAATTTGAAAATCTGATGCCCCTTCTGATTTTTGTCTCACTATTCACTCAGGAAATCTGCACCAAGGCAAAGAATTGAATCTCAGAGCAGCTCATACAGCACTTTGACCATTGATATTTCCTTCCTCCCCAGATAAGTGATTCTTTTGAGAAGGCTATTGAGAATGAGCGCTTATAACAATGAACATTGTACAAGCACTACAATAGACAGACTTTATTCTGGAATCTAAGGCAATGAAACTATTGTCTCAAATCTGCATTTCTCAGGCAAAGTGGTTATATAAATTTTTAGAGATAACATTCAGTGTTAAGAATGTTGAAAAACATCCTCATATCATTCACAAGAGGTATCTTTTATGCCTTGCCTAAGGTCATCCTCCTCCCCAGTCTATTGTGCAGTACCCTGTTGACCGGGTACATACTTTAGTGCAGGCCTATCATATCACAGCAGCTGCATTTCAGAATGTTACAATAAAAGACCTAAAAGAAATAGAAATGCATACTATATATTTACAAATCTACTTTTAATCAATACCACCAAGAGAGGAACTTTTCAAGGTGCACATTTAGACCAAATTAGAGAGGAGCTGATTTCTCTGTCCTTATAAATGTTTGAAAAGAAATGGAAACATTACCTTGGCTGACGTTTCAAACCAGCCCACGAACCCATTCTCTTTGCAGAATTGATCCATCTTGATGCCATTGTTCATAAGAACATCTATTCCCTGGTCACATTTGTTTGCTAATAGGACTGCTGGCACAGGTTTGCCATTTGGAAGAACCAACTTAGAGTCCAAATCCTCTTTCCATTTTGTCACTGCTTCAAATGTCGCAGGTCTTGTAACATCAAAGACAATAAATGCCCCCATGGCCTCTCTGTAATACACCCTGGTCATGTTTCCAAATCTTTCCTGTCCTGTAATGAAGAAAGTAGGAGGGGAAAAAAGCATTGCCTTGTAAAAATCAGTGCTTCCAGTTTAGATCAGTATTTCACATTGCAGGTTTTCTAAGATAACATTACTGAAGGCAGGACTTAATTTTATAAATCCCTGGGAAACTACTCTTTGCCTAAATAAGTACCATGCTGGAATAATTTGTATGAAAATGCAGGAGAGTATTGCATGAAAAAGGAATTTTCAAACCAATAGCCAAGGAAATTTAATGAAGTTCATTATAAGTGAATAATAAGTGCAATAAGTGAATAATAAGTGTATGGTCTTATTAGGCTGCCAAATTTCTCAGTCTGTGGAGAGTACCAAGAGTCTTTGGGTACATTACAGGACTTTCAAAAAGAGTCACAAAAAATACCAGATTGGTACCAGATTGAAAACTCCTTGGTACTATGGTATTTTGTCTAAAACATCCAACACAACTGAACTCCTCACGCATGAAAGAGGATCCTGCATATTCTCATGCAAATGATAATAACCAGCAGTATCATAATATAACTCTGGAGCCATACTAGACATCAGAGTATTTACAAATTTATTTTTAAAACACAGAGGTGAGGAAGATGAATTTAAAGGCATACAAACATGGTCTAAGAAATAGAGAAGCAGTAGCAAAATGAAAAGCTGCATTGCTTCAGTGAAAAGATCTGAGAGTTTCATAATAGATCTGTTCAGAAGTGTCACAGTTTTATTTGCTGAAATTCAAAGTGCTTTCTGGGAAAGGAGAGAATTTTTTGGGAGTTAACAGTACATCAGTATATTCAAACAGGGACGTTTGTAAATATCTATCATTTTATATGACTAAAAGTATGAACAAATTAACACATGACATCAGGATATGGTATGTTGATCAGCTGTGGATTTGTTAATATATCTGCTGCTTTCATGGGAACTCTGAAAAAATAATTTACACAGAACTTTTCTTGGAAATAAAAAATAGATTTTCTGCTAATGTCTGCAGCAGATCTGTGATCCAAAGAAGAATTATAAGCTCCTGAAATATTTCATAACAATTGCAGTTTTTAAGCAAGACAACTCCTGTACATGCTTCTATACCTGGGAAAAAGTGCTATGGAAATAGAAGCATTGAATGCAAACTTGTTTCTAGCTTTTTTTCTCAGTGTGAGTAGTTGTGAGTACGTTAGGAAGACAAGAAGATTGGCAATCTGCCTCTGACCCCAGGAAGGTTATCTGTGGAGAATTTGTCTGATGGAAATTTTGCTGTCAAATATAAGGGAGGGTTGAGAAAGGAAAAGTACCGATTGCTGGGCTTCTAGACCATGCACTTGCACTTAATGGAAATAGCACTGAACCCACTTAGGGGGTCAACACCATCAGTTTGTGATGTTTATCTTTGGTTTTAAGCATTGTGGCAGCAAGGAGACAGTTATTCACATGATACAGAAACCAAAGAGGAAGTCTGTCTTCTCCAAATTCATGTAATTTTTTTTTATCTTAAAGAAACACAGTGTCTTATTGATAAAGCAAGATAGAAATAGATTATTTGTGAGAAAGAAGAGGTCATATTCAAAATTTCTTTCTTCCATATTTTTATTCAAATGTCTTATGATTCCTATCAGTGGGCTAATCAGATGAATGGCTAAGTCATGTGCTATTCAATAATCTCTTTGTTGAGAAATTCTTTTTTCATCTGCAAGAAGGTGACTTTCACCAAAATCCAAGGTCTGATTAGAAACATGGCAGTGAGGTAATCAGCAACATATTCAAATAGTTTTTGATGGATATTGTATTTCACTGATAGTTTATCCTTCTCATACAAAGCTCTTGAGATGCTTACACTGTGGGTGATATAAGAGTACTTCAACTCAGGCCTCACACATATTTATTAGGACACAGATTGTTGAGATAGGTGGGGCACAGTGTCACAGAACATCAACTAAATTATTCATTTGCAGTATGAAATAATTCACCATGAAGGAAGTTACTCAATGAATAAAAGACTCCTAAGTTGTGATCTTCTGCCTGGTAGTGGCCTACAAATTTCTGGCAAATTGTATGACACTGCTTCTTCTTTTAGCTTCCAGCTGCTTTTTCAGATACACAGGATTTTCACTGCACAGGAAAGCCAGTATGTTTGTAAATGCAGCATTTTGCAGGAAGACGGGGATAACCAATTTACATCACCAACCATTTCAAAGAAAGAGAAAGAATGAAGTTGCATAATTAACTGTCTAAACTGTTTTTGAAGTGGTCTTTTTCTCCATCAGTTATAATTAATGTATCAATATATTTGACAGAAAGGCATCAGGCCTTTTTGAATGGAAAAAGAGGTCCTTTATAAATCAGAGTTTTAGTTCTATGACCTTTGCATAATGACTTTTATATAATTTAAATTGTGGAAAAAGTGATCTCTAGTATTTGCATTGAGCTTGGAGAACTAAATAATATGTCTAAGGATGCAGAAGTACGCTTTTTTCCACAGATTCTCGCTTACGTGGACAAAATCCAATATTAATAGATTAGGCTCCTGAAACCTTTTTGTTTAGCAGAATTGCTCGTAATAATAGGCACTGCTTGATGCATTAAAGATGTCAAAATCCGGCCTTAGGTTTTCAGAAACACAATGTCTTAGGCAGGAATTAGGCTAGAAAATAGATCAACAATTAGGTATTCAGTGGTGTCTCTCAGGCAGCCTTGAACATTAGAATCTGCTTTACTGCAACACTGACTGGGGAAGATTGGTTTTGTTTTTCACTGGAAGGGTCAGAAGCTTGGGAAATATTTGATCTGGTCCATAGTACTTTACTGCATCCCTTACAAGACCACTGGCATTTGCCATCAAATCCTGCAATTCCAACGGCCTTTGCCCACTGAGATCATGCTTTATGCTGGGATTATCAGCATTAAATTAGATTAAAATAATTAATCGGGAGTACTGAACGTTAGGATCCCTTTGTATTTGGAGACTGAAAAGAAATGCCTGGTTGTTAATTCAGATTAATCTTACTCTACTTGGAAGCGAACCTAGTGAGATCAAGGTGATAAAGCAGCAAGATTTCTACTAAAGGGAAGCACTCCCTGTCTGAAGGGCAGCTGCCTGCACATTTATCCTAATCTCAGTGGCACCTCTGCAGCAAGCAGAGCAATCAGTTCATGGGTTTGAAGCAACAAGCAGCTGGACTTTCCTAGCTTATAAAAATTTATCCCAAATAAATTTCTATAGTAATCTGCAATTTTTACTAACAACTGCCATCTCTAATAAAGATATAAAAAATAACTAAAAAGTGCTGAAATTCAGATAATTTCCACAATCTTGACTACAGCATCTGAAATGTGGCACAAAAATTTAAATTAAAAATTGATTGAAATTGCCCAGTGCTGAGTTTTATGATGCATTTTACTTCTTGCCACTGACCTAAGAGACAAGGCTTTTGGGGGCCACCTTGCTTTACAGAAAGCCTTTAGCCAACACTGAGAAGCTGGAAACTGTGGAGAAAATTTAAATATCTTTTACATATCACCTCAAAATATCTTTCAGAATATTCGCACTTGACTTCAAATAATTGTCTTTATGGACTGAAGTTTAAGCGACCCTTGAGCGGATGTTCAGCAGCCCAGAATGAGGAAAAGCAGGCTGTCAGCAGGATCTGGCCCACAGATTCCAGCACCAATCTCTACTGAAATAAAACCCTCACAGCAAGAGATTTATTTATGTTTGCAGAACAGTAATTTCAAGGTAACTTAGCCTAGAAATCACCATGACTATCTTATTTATGCATATGTGCTGCCAGCTTAGCTGCTGCTGAAAACCTAAAATGTTGAGGACGTGCTGTGCCTGGCATTAGCAAACAGGTTTCCACTTACTCCCTCTGCAGCATAACAATCCTAAAACTTTATAACTGCAGAGATATTTGTCCGTGTCTGTGGGAAGACTGCTGCTTCTGATGGTGAAAGTGACCGGGAAAGGAAATGGAACTGTTCTTTCCCCCAAGCATTGGTCCAACTGTTTATGAGATGAGAACCAGACTTTTAAACACAAACCAATATCTTTTTAGTAGCAACGAATAACCCAGCCCACGCAAATGCAGAAGAAGTGATAAAGAGGATACTGAGATGGCTGTGGGAAAGGAACAGGGAGCAGGCTCTGATCTGCTGCTCTCTGCTCTCTGATGTTCAAAGCTCCTCCCTGCAGTAAATCTATGGCTAAAGCTGGTCTTCAGAGAAATCTCTGGATTGTTTGGGCACAAAACACAGACAGTAGCACAGAGAGCAGCCTTGCAGAGAAGGGTGTAGCAAATACACCCAGATCTGCTGTCTAGAACAGCTGTTTTTTTCAGAAGCGGCGTGACAGCCTGCATCTGTAGGGCCAGCCCCATCCACAGTAACATTGTGCAAAATATGATTCAGAGTTTCTTTAAAGCTTTTCTTCTAAGAATTTGTTAATGACTTTAAAGGATATGCACACAAAGGCAGCAGAAAAGATAAAGAAATAAAGACAGAAATTGACTGAGGAGCAAGATTTAATGTTGCATGACACAGCAGTAGAGATGATGGCACACTTTAACAGGAACACCAAAACTAATAATTTGTGACATAAGATGAAACAAAATGGAATTGTTGTGAAGAAATTAAAGAAAAGGAAAATTTTATCATGTATATATCCTCTCACATTCAATACTAAACATTCAGTCTCCTCAAACTTAGGCACTTCACTGATCAGACATAAGTTCATAGATTTTAATGACAGCACATTGTTATAAACACCATAACATCATATAGCATTAAGGTTAATCCTACTATTCCTGCCTAACACCCACAGTTTCAGGAATATAGTATGTGTTAAAATCACTGTCTTAAAGTAACAATGTGTGATGCAGAGACTACATTATCCCTGAATTAATTTTTGCAATACTTATTTATCCTTGTTTTTTGGAATTTCTCTCTCATTTAAATAAACAGAATTTCAGTATTTAGCTGTTACATTATGTTATAGTTTTGTTTGCAAAATACCAAAAATTATGTTACACAAATATTAAATACATTTAATTAGATGGCACCAGATGAAACAAATTTACTTTTCCTTCTTATGTATGGTAAGGGTAAACCAGGCCAAACTGCTTCGTCCTACCACAGCTGGAATGTGTCACTCCTCAAATGAAGTCACTATGTACAGAAACTCTACTAATAATGTAGCTAATCTTGACACTAGTTTTATTTACAATATTTTAAAGAAAATTACTTCTAGATTGTTAAACAAGTTACTACCCATGAAAAGCAAGGAGGAATACACATAGGCTTGGTACTGGGTTCAATGCCTGTATAATGGAGAGGGGAGAAGATATAACAGTTTAAATAATCTCATATATATATATATATATATATATATATATATATATATACATACATATAAAAGTATGTATTCATATATAATTACTGATATGAAATATTGTCTATGTATTTGCAGAATTTGCTTCAATTCAAGGTGTCTTTTTCTCTCACCAGCCAGATGTCTTTTGCATGATAACTTTTATGACTGCACCATGATCATCTAAGTTCAGCGTGCTGCTTGCAGAACTTGCTCTCTATATACAGCCAGCAACAGCTAAAGCTCCTTAAGCAGAAGTCATTAAAGCCAAGACAGCAACTCTTTTTATTACTGACCACTGTCTTGACCTTCACAATGATGCTTTGAATTGGCCAATTCATATGAAATTTAGTACTGTGCTGTAATTCTCTCTGTCATGTGTGATAACTCAGAAAGCATGCTAGTCATTCAGCACTACAACTAGGTGCAATTGCTTTTGCAGCCTGACTGAAAGCTACATCATATGATCTGCCAGCACATGATTAGTAGTGTAATAAATCTCTGAAACAAGGCATGCAAAATACATTCTTTAAGGCCTTGATACATTCAGAATTTACTATGAAATGCTTTTTTCTCGTGCAGAAATGTTTTTCTGGCAGTGTATGTATTTGTTGTTACAATTAGCCACTGTTTTTCCCCAATAATATTTTTCCCATTATTCTATCTTTTAATAAAGAAAACTGAGCGTATATGTATTTAAAACCATAAAACCACAAGACTGTATTAGCATGTGGAAAGGCAGAGTTTATACGCTTTACATAAAGCAGTGTTGTTGAATAAGTTTTAGTACCTCAGTGCCAAATTCAGAGCTCAGACATGAGACAGCTCAGTGCAGCAGAAAAGCACTCCCTCCACCAATAAGAATGTCAAGAATTTTTTCATTTCACCAGTTTTACCCGGTGCTGTTCCAGACTAGATCAATGAGCCTGAGTGGGCTCACAACTCAGGCCACAGGCTGGTACAGTTGTCTAACAGTTGATATGTTCACCTTTATTCCCTATTTAATGAAAGTAACTTCTTAATGTAATTGAGTTTTTAATGCCATCCTTTATGCTGTAATCTATTCTTACAGTTGTATTTGATTCCTGCATTCACTAAATGAAAAATTATTATTTACAGCATGGGATATATGCTGTCAAGGTAAACTTATTTTGTGGACTGAAACAAAAATGATTGATTTTCAGAAAGGGGTGGCAAAAAAATTTGTGTGTTTAATTTGAATCCAAACTGAAAATGTCTGAACACGGTCAGCAACAATGTCAGATTCTGTAGGTTTTAATGATGTAAGCATGTGGGAATATCTGGACTATCTTATTCTTTTTCTCCTTTCAGAGATAAATCATCTTTTGTTTTGCTTGATGTTGGAACAAGGGTATTTAAATATGAGTAATTATATTTTTAACAACCAGAATGCCAAATAGAAACATTTCTCTTCCTAAAACAAGTTAGAAGTTGCTTTCATTGGACTGAAGGAGGGCAGGTATGAGAGAGAGGAAGAAGGAAGGTATTTCGATGAACTTACTCAGAAATAAGTTTTCTTTATTTTTTAAACTATAAAATTAATTTTAACAATCTTACTGAATGCCTCATCTATTCCATCAAATTAAAAAGATTTAACAGGACGATTCTTGTTATTCTTCCTCCTGTCACAGAGATCTATTAGTCCAAGGAGGCAAAACTGAACATTGCCAGCTGCAGGGAAACAGCAGGGGCATTTGGAGGTGCCCGAGTCCTTGAATACGTGCAAGAGCTGGGGAGAAAATTCAGCTAGCACAGGTTCCACTCTGACGCTCTGACTTCCCTAGTTTGGGAGTCTGCTGGTTTTAGGGAATGTCCAAAATGTCAAGCTGCCCTTAAAGTTTTCTCTCCTCAATCTAACCTCCCTCACTGCAGTGGCGGTTCCCAGTTTACAGATCAGTACAAATGACTTGGGGTCTGTATTTTGTATTCCTCTTCGATAGATATGGGGCTGAGGGTTCTCCTCTGTACTCACCCGCAATATCCCAGAGCTGCAGCCGTACCACAGTCTCAGCATCCCAGTTCAGCACCTTCAAAGCAAAGTCCACCCCGATGGTGGCCCGGTAGTGGGGGGAGAAGTTCTGGTGGACATAGCGCTTGATGATGCTGGTTTTGCCCACTCCCAGGTCCCCGATCACCAGCAGCTTGTAGAGGTGCTCCTTCTGGTTGTGCTTCTGCATCTTTCCTGTGGCTGCGGCTGCTCCCTGCAAACTGATTGCATGCTCTGCCCGAGGAATCCTGCCAGCCTGAGGGGAAGAGAGGGGGTGAGGGACTGGGGAGGGAAGGAAGGTGGAGGCTCTCTCCCTTCCTACGGAAGCAGGATCACCAGGTCCCGCAGGCAGCCCTGCTGGGAGATGAAGTAAGGAGGGATTGGGGGAAGGAAGTCTTCCAGAAAGTTTTGTGCGTATGTGTGTAAAGGTCAGCATGAGGTGTGTCTGGGATTAGTCTGGCTGCTAAAGACTTCGCAGGAAAATTCATGCAACAGTTCTGTACTCTGTTTGTCTCCTTGCTGAAAGGACAGTGTTTCTGTTGTGCACTAGTTTTACACACAGTAAATTTTGAATCACTGCCTTGGTAATAATATATCACCCAATGCTTGTTTCCGGCTGTCTTTAAGATGCCAGTCACTGCAAAAACAAACCCTGAAAATTCCCTTCAGAGGTTCAATTTTTAAACTTTAGTGCAAATTTTATTGCACTTCAATTGCACGTTAGTGCAAAAATTAAACCAGTGTGACTTCAGCTTGGGATGAAATTTGGTTCTAATCTGTGTAAGTTTGTGTGAATGCAGTTACATCAGTAGAAGTGGCAGTTATAGCAATATACAGCAGCTCTACTTGTGTCCTTACTAGGAGGGCTGTACAAATTTAATTACAGAAGATACATATTTTTAATTTTTGTTACCATAATTATGATTGTCTCTCTATACCTATAAGCATGCTCCCATCTGAATGCAGCACGCAGTCTGTGCTTTGTTTTTTATACAAATGGACTTTAAAATGCAAAAATCCAGGTTTATCTCATGACTCAAATAATCAGAAGTTATGAAAGCATAACAGCATTTGAGCACATGAGTCTCAACAGTCATCTGTTTTCCAAAACAACTGATACCAAACTTGCAAACAACAACCCATTTGAGTAAATCAATCTACTGACATGACTGTCCCTTTATTTTGAATGAAGAGCACAGTGAACTTTACCTAGGAAGCTTAGCTGGAAACCTCTACCCATTACCTAGTGTTGTTTGATCATTTTAACAGCTTTGATAGAAAACCTACATAATTTTAATACTGTGTGCAATTTATCAGTGAATAATTTTTATTGATGTTCTTGAAAATGAAAACATATTTTTACTTATTGTAATATTATTTGATGGAGTTCTTATCCAAGTGTGGACTGAAGTGGCATTACAATTTTGTCATCTATCCAAAAAGCTGGATTTTAGTACACAAAGAATCCAGAACATTCATATTATGCAATCTTTTGTAATCGGTCTTTAAACTCAAATTTTAATTTTGTTTTTGTGTGTATATATACATAAACACACAAAGTGAAAATAGGTAACTTGAGAGGAAAAATGTCTTATTTTCCTTGAACCTTTTTTTAATAAGAGAATTTTTTTTCAATAAGATAAATTGTCTTTCCAAAAACAAATTGTCATTTGTGTCCTGTTTGGAGAGGAATTTTAAAGGGCTTTGCCCTATGGATAACAACTTGACAGGACAACCAGTTTGATCAGTTAGTAAATTTGCATTATTCAAGCTTATTATTGTTACTACTGGTAGTGTGTGCTATTTCAATTCTTTACTGCTCCTCTGTTTCCTGAGAGGATCCAATACTTCAGTACTTCTTCTAAGCATTCACCTCTACCCTCTAAAGTTGAAGATTTCCCCTTTTAGAGCTTAAACAAAGATCAGGCTGAGAGGATTTAGCAATTTCAGAAATAACGAAATTAGTGTTTTGGATAAGGTTTAAATTACATCTAATGTTTCATCCTTCTTTGATGATGGCCATTGCTCAGAGAACAGTGCTGGGAAGGTCCCTGAAAGCAGATGTTTGATAACTGGAGGTCTTATTTGTAAGTGTAGTTAGGGGCTGAAGCATACCCAGAAGCATGAGGCTTTATCTCTTTTCCAAAGTTTTTGTTAGAATTAGCTATAATAGCTCTGGGTAATCATGCTACTTGTTTAAATCTCCAATTCTTCTCTGAATGTGGCTAAATTCTTGGTCCTGGCAGCACCCTGGTACGATGAGCTCCTCACAGGCTTAATCAAGGTCACCCTGGGCTGGCAGTAGGGCTACGAGTGAGATGTTCAGTGAGGTGTTCAGATGTAGGGTGAGCATGGAGGAGGGATTGTTGCAGTTACAGGGATGATTCGCTGACCTAAAGGGAAGTATGGACTGAAGCAACTTGCTAAGTGAAAGCTGTACCCAGATCTCCTAACTTCATGGTGAGCTAACTTATAGGCACCATCTGCTAAAATGCTCCTGAAATGTCCTGCCTTGCTCCACCTTTTTGGAACCATGTATCTGTATTGGTTTGGCCTCCTTGCCATCCGAAGGCACTGGGGTGGGGAGCTGTGGATCTATCATTAATTTGCAGCCCTGCTGCAGCACTGTCATGGGAGAAGGCAGATAATTTGGGCTGGTTGTGGCTTAGAGGATCACTGCAAGATTTGTTTGATGATGCCAGCTGATCCCTTCATGCACACAAACAGGTTACTGCAACTCAGCAACCTCCTGCCAGCAGAGGTGGCCAGGGAAGCACACTGAGCCTGGAGATGATGCAATGAAATCTGTCTTAGCTGAGACCACACTTAAGGACGGGTAATATAAACCATGCCAGCTTGCATTTGTCACCCACAGGTAGGTGGTTAGCAGGACTTAGCTGACACCATGTAACTTGTTAGGTTGGGTACACCAGATGTTGCCCCTGAACTCTTACTCTGCTGCTGTCCAGGCAACAAGAACACGAAATCTCGCCAGCAATTTGGCTGACACGGCTGTGTTTATATTTCATTTGTCTGTGTTTTCTCTATGTACATTTTAAACTTTATAAAATAATTGCAAAAAAATTGAAATTACATGTGACATTATGTATATCTATGCTGTTTTATTTTTGTATTTTCTGTCTATCCATTTTAATACTACACTAATGTTAATAGAGTCTACTTAAATTCTATTTTAATTGGCATAATTTATGATAAATCTATACATCTCAGTTGTAAATAATAACATTTTTTAATATTCCATAAAATTAAGGTATTACAGGCTGTGTTGTGCTCTAGATAAAAGTGAAACATATTTTACAGTGATAATTTTCAGAACTTCCACACAATTTCTCTGTCATTAGTAGAGACTTTTTTTTCTGCGAGAAGAGATAAAATTTAAGATGTAATTAAATGGACATGAATCAAGGAAAGCATAACTTCATCTTGGATTCTTCCACTCCTCTTCATGTGGCATACACCACAGCAAAGGATGTCAAACTTGAGCACCAGATTTGTTACCAACACACCTTTTAAAAATGACAATGTTTTCTGAGATAATGAAACTACAAGGCAATAGTTTTTGTAAAAAAGGAGAAAAAAGACATTCACAGAATCATGGGAGATGCTGAGTCAGAAGGGACCCACAAGGATCATCGAGTCCAGCTCCTGGCCCTGCACAGGACATCCCAAAGAGTCAAACCATGTGCCTGAGAGCATTGTCCAAACACTTTGTGAACTCTGTCAGGATGGTGCTGTGAGCACTGCCCTGGGGAGCCTGTTCAGTGCCCAACAACCCTCTGGGGGAAGAACCTTTCCCTAATATTCAGCCTCAACCTTCCCTGACACAACTTCAGGCCATTCTCTCCAGTCCTGTTGCTAGTCACCAGAGAGAAATCAGTATTTGCCCCCCTCTTTCCCTCACAAGGAAGTTGCAGACTGCATTGAGGTCTCCCCAGTCTCTTCTCCAAGGTGAACAGAAAAAGTGACCTCAGCTGCTCCTCCTATGGCTTCCCCTCAAGGCCCTGCACCATCTTTGCTGCCCTCTTTTGGATAGTCTCTAATAATTTTATATATTTTCTTATATTTTCATGATCAAAATTCAGATTATTAGAAATGTATGTATTCAAAAGATTTCCATCTAAAATGATGTAGAGTTTTCACAGCTATTAATGTTAAACCTATCAGCTTTGAATATCTTGAAGGGAGTGACTACACCATCATATTAATCTCACCTAATATGCTATAAATGACAGCATAATCCAGAGACATGCTAATACACATCTCTCTGTGTGTATGCATATATATATACACATATACATACAAATCAATATCATAGACCTACTTTATCCTACTTTAAAAAAATACAAAACACTGACATTCTGCACAGAGTTTTAGCTACACATTAAAAGCCCACTGGTGCATGAATTGTGTTAAAAAAGTGAGAATTTGTGGCTCTCTCACAATTGCTACCCTTAGTCTAATAAAGGGACCAAGTTTAATTAGTTATTGCATATTCCAACATAGCTTCCATCTGCCCTGTGTGAACACAGGCAATGCTCAGATGCAAATACATGTTTCTACTCCAACAAGCTCAGAAATAAATAATAATTTGATATAATTCCCCCTCTCAAGGATTTTTTTTTTTAAATATAGATCCATAAAGTCTAATAAAATCCAAGTTAAAGTCCATCCTTTGGAGTCTGCAGCAAAAATCCTTGACGGACTGCAGAGCATTTTATACCAAGTATATTTGAACAGTCACCTGGGAATACATGAACACAGTGCAACTCAAAAAGCAATAAGGTGAGGACCAGAATGTCTGCCAAAGATAAAATCTAATAACAGGGGGGTCAGTAATACTCTGGGAAAAGTAAAACGGCTTGTCCCTGAGGCCAGACAGCAGTGAAAGCATCATACAGCACAGATTTAGTCTGAAATGTGCCAGTTCCAAAGGAAATTTGTTGCACCTCAGATTCAATAAGTGAGGTGTAAGAGCACTCACCGAGGTTGCAGATGGAAGCATCACACTCACTGCAGGAATGCTACTATGGAGCTGGGCAAAAGCCTGGACCAAATTGACAGTGCAGCAGTTTTAGTACTCTTCACGTACTGAAGAATACTTGTATGATAAGAGCCAGTTACACACGGGCACATCTAAGTCCAGCCAGAACAGTTCTGATAATCAGTAACCTGCATTATGCCCCTCCCATGAGGGTCAATTTGAAACACCCACAGGAAGAATTTAGAGAATAGTCTACCCTATCCTCCACAGAGAAAATCTCCTTTAAGAACAGGGTGAATTACATTGGTGAAACTTTTGTCCAATTCATGTAGTCTGGTTCTTGAAGACTATCAATATTTAATGCTGCAGAAGTGCTAACATCATGTGGAGGGAAATTTGTAAGAGTAGGTTCTAAATTAATATGCATTGGCTTATATAATTTCTCTTGTTAGTGTCAATTTGAACTATGGAACAAAACAACTAAAAATGTTACCTTTACCTGATAAAAGTTCATCAGGATTTTCTTTCGTAAATTGTATTAATTGTCACTTCAGATATCACAGAAGCACTGAGGCAGGAAAGAATTTCTGGAGGTTACTGAACCCAACACCCTGCTCAAAGCAGGGCAGGTAAAAACAGGCATGAAGATTTCACAGTCTCTGGGCAATGTGTTTCAGTGTTTGACCATACAGACAATGAAAAGCATTTTCTTAATGTTTAAATAGAATTTTTTTTTTCTGTATTCTTTACAGATTCTTTAAAATCTCCATGAGCCTTCTCTACTCCAGATTAACTGTCCCAGCTCTCTTGTCTCTCCTTGATGGTCCAATTTCTTAATAATCTTTGTATTCCTTTGCTGGATTCAGTTATACTCAATTGCGGACAGAGCACTCATCATCCACTGTTCTCCTTTATTCACACCCAGTGATTTCATCATAGGTGGCTACCTGTTTGGTAAGGCATGTTATATCCTTGATAAACCTACACTGACTACTCCAAGTCACCTTCTTATCTTTCCTGTGTTTTGAAACTATTCCCAGGAAGATTTGCTCCATCATTTTTCCTGTGATGAACGTGATGCTTACCAGCCTGTAGTTCCATGGAGTCTCATTCTTTCTCTTTCTGAAGATACCATGGGAGGAACCTGGGTGCTCTCACCTGGGCTGTACGTATATTAGTCCACTGAATCTGAGTTTTGCGGGACCCTGTGATTGGGAAAACAAGAAGAGGACCAATGGGATGCCGTTGCAATCCATGGAGTAGTGACATTTTTCTACTCAATCTGACACTCTCTCTCCCTTCTCATCTCTTCTCTTTTCTCTCTCTGCCTCACATTTACTGTTAAATAAAATTCATACATTCACTTCAGCATATGGTTTCATTTGCACCTTAATTTGGGCAGAGGCATCTCTCTAATCATTTTGATAATCAGATCTTACCAAGGCTCAGACGGTGTATATATATCCATCCCCAGTCACCTGTCCCTTCCATCTCTTTTCTGTATTTCTTTTTTTATTTTTGAGTTTAGTCAGAAGCTCCTTATTCATCCTTGCAGGCCTCCTGCTGCTTTTGCTTGATTTACTACATGTGGAGATGGACCATGCTTAAACTTGGAGGAAGTTATTCTTGAAAATCAACTGGCTCTCCTTGATGCCTCTTCCATCCAGGGCCTTCCAGATTTTCCCAAGCAGGATCATGCTGAAATCTGTTTTCCTGAAATTAAGGCTTGAACCTTGGCTTTTGCCTTTTCCCCTCTTCTCAGAATCCTGAACTCCACTCTCCCAGGGTTGCCAGCCAAAGCTGTCTCCAGTTATCACAGATCTGTACAGTACTGCCTTGTTTGTAAGTGGTCCAGCAGAGCATTTTCCCTCATCAGACAATTCATCTGTACAGGACGGTCTCACCAACACATTCCAGAAACCTCTCAAGACACAAGTAAGACACAGTAAAGGTGTTTATAAAGACAGTGCTGGGCTTGGGTTCCTTCCACCTTTTACTAGTTATTTAGCCTGCTATCAGAGTAGTGCTTCAGGGCTCAGCAAGAAAGGTTCCTGTGTGCTGAACGCTGCTCCAGCCCTGGATGGTGGCCAGGCCTGCTCCTGGAAGCCTTATCTCAGTAGGAAAGACAATAAAAAAAAAAAATTAAAAAATAGGGATAAGGAGGATAAGTAACACTGTGTGGATCTCCATTCAACTGGTGAAGGGTTTCCAGACTGAGATTTTTGTCAGTGTTCTCAACTTCAAGAAAATAAAAAAAAACCCCAGTCCTTTCTGTTTGTGTATATATGCATTCACAGAATATATTTCTTCTATAGACATATTAAAGGAATGTCAGGGCATGTTACAAAGCAGCTGAAACTTTGCATTTTTCTCAGATCTTCCCATTTTGTAGCTTTTTTATGAACACATTTCAAAATAAGAAAAAAATCCCTAAGTAGTTCAGAAATACCAAGAAGGTTAAGTTTTCTCACATTTTTTTAACACTTTTATCCTGGTTTTAGAACTCTTTTCAAACAAAAAAAGAAAACATACCCAAACAAACAAATAAAATAAACCCCAAACAACGCCACCCATTCTGGAAGTTATCTTAGCAGTGAGACAGCTACCTTCTCAATGTGTCACCAGACTCCCAGCTATGATTTTTTTACCTGATACAGAACAGAAGAGGGCCATCACCTCTCTTGGTAGAGACAGAATTTCTTTTCTTTGTGGAAGTGGGATAGCTAGGAAGGATGTAAACAAATTAGAGGGTAAACATGAGCTTTGACATATGTGATTGTTCATGGGCTCAAGACAGCACACAAATTAACACTGAGGCAGGGAACTATACTTGGAGACCTGTAGCTGAACTCTTAAGCCAGAGATTTTGTGGTAATTAACATTGCTTCTCTCTAGCAGCAGTGCAGCAAAACTCAATCCAACAGCTATAGAAGGGGCAAGTAATTCTATTTTAAAACATGTATCAACACTCTGACACCCACCTTCTTACAAGTGCCATGCTCCGTGTTAAATTACCTGACTTACCTATACCCACGTATATCACAGTGCTTTGGCCAAGTTTTGTTGCAGCAATGAAATGGATGCCAGCTTCTCAGCCCCCACCATCTCCTCATCCCTAGGTTAGCCTTTAGGTGCTGCTTTTGGAGAGTCTGCTTCATATCTGTTCCACTTGCATGAAGCATTAGGTTTTGCTTATTTAGTCTTTTTGCCTGGAAGCTACTGAAGAGGGTTTGTCCTTCTTACTGGCATTTAGGGGTTTCCATGTATGAAAGGCTGGACATAACCTAGCAATGTGTGCTCACAGTGCAGAAAGCTAACCATGTCCAGGGCTGCATGGCCAGCAGGGCAAGGGAGAGGATTCTGTCTCTTCACTCTGCCCTTGAGAGATTCCACCTGGATCACTGTGTCCAGTTCTGGAGTCCTCAACATAAGGATGATGTCTTGCAGTGAGCCCAGAGGAGGCCACAGAAATGATCGGGGTCTGGAGCACCTCCTATGAAGACAGGCTGAGAGAGCTGGGGTTGTTCAGCCTGGGGAAGAGAAAACTTTGGGGAGACTACTGCAGCCTTCCAATACATAAAGTAGCCTTATAAAGAAGAGGGAGAGGGGCTTTTTCATGGGTAAATAGTGCTAGGACAATGGTTTTAAATTAAAAAGAGATTTAGATTGGACATTCTTTCCTGTGAGAGTGGTGAGGCACTGGCACATCTTGTCCAGGGAAGTTGTGGATGTCCTATCCCTGGAAATGTTCAAGGCCAGGTTGGATGTGCAACCTGGGATAGCTTGTGGCATACAAGCTTAAGGAGGGAGGAGAGGGAGTTGGATCTTTAAGGTCCCTACCACACCAAATCATTAAATATTTTTTTTTCTTTAGATTGTCTATTTTTTAGGATGCCCCTTGCTTTATTTTGTTTCATCTTGTTTCCTGTTATGGGTGTCCATAATCAGCATCTGCTTTTCCTATAGCTCATCTCCTGTTATCCCTCCTGGTTCTTCCACACCCTGATGGTCCCATTTGTTTTCCATTTGGAGAAGTTTTAATGCTGCTATTACAAACTTCTACAATCCTAAAGGATAAGATGGAGCTCAAGTTCTGGTTTGCCAGCCTCTTCAATTAAAAGAAGAAAAGGAAAGTTATCCTTTCAATGTTACAGCTTAAAAGTCAGCCCCCAACAATCAGGAAAATGCAATCATCCTATTTCCACTTTTCCTCAAGGCAGTAAATATAGAGAATAGGTGTGTTCTACAAAAAGAACATTTCATTGCTTATATTTCATCATCCCACTGCTGAGTTTTATGTATTAGATTTGGCATTTTAGTCTATTTGTTGTAATTGATTTTTTCCCCCTCCCACAACTGGATACAGGTATTATCCTGCTGAAATTTAAAAGTGAAAATGAAATTTAAATATAATCCCAAGGTTAATAGAGAGTTTCAGAAAAGCAGAGAGAAATGTAACTGAGTAACGAAACTCAGCAGCCTTGCTAATGTATGAGATTTAGAAGGAAATCTTTATGAAAGCAAAATATAGTACAGACTACAGACTTAGTCACCCAAATGTTAAGCTTTTGGAGTATTCATTCCTGTTTATGCCTAAACACCCATGGGGAGAAGTGAGAGAGTCCCAAAATAGGATCAGGATTTTAAGCAGGCTCCACATTTTCCTGAACTGTGATGCAGAGATAGGTCTGGGAGCAAGAAGTGGCACAGTCAGACCAAGAGCAGAGTACAGAGTCAAAAGTCAAGAGACAGTTGGTTTGGGCATCACCGTTTCCAGGTGAAGTAATGGTCTCCCAGAGGTCATGGACTGTGTGCTTTCAGGAAGATTTGCCTTCTGAGATATTCAGCTTCCTTCAGTCATCAGTGCTAATGAGAAGAAAAACCTAAAGGAATCCCATTGTATAGTCCAGACCAAAAATGCTGTTTAATCCAGTGAAATGCTAAACAGAACAATAGAAGGGGCCATCATTTTATATTAGTGTTACAAGTATTAAATAATAGAAAAGTAAATTAAATGAAGTTTTAAAAAATTCACTTACTGTATCCTTATCTATACTTTGCTAAATATAATTATAAAGGTTCTGTACAGTTACTTAATGGTTTTGGGAAGTTTTTCCCATCTAACACAAAGAATGTCAAGTTTGGAACTGCTGGGCATTTAAGAATATTCAATGTTTTTCAAGATTCTGAAATCCTCCTAAGGCAAAGACATCCATTTTAATATCTTTGGTGATTATGACAATACTTAAAATGTATCACCTGTCATATTGTTAAAGTGATATCAGCCCTTCTACACAGCCCTTAGAAGTATTCTTTATTTAATGAGGTAAGTCAGAGGTCCCAAGGATCACTTCAATCATAAACATGCACAAATATCTTACAGTGCAAACAGCAAAATGTGCTTGAAGAGGAGGGAGCTAAACTATCAGCCTAGTGAAATGACAGAGTTTAATTTAGCTTGTGCATCTCATGCTAAATAGCATCTGTTGGATCAATCCAGCTGATCCAAATGAAACAATTAGGAGTAATTGGTAGGAGTACGTGTCAGTGCCTTTCCTATTACAGACAGAAAAATTTGCATATGCACATAGGCTATAAAGAAAGGCTTCAACCTCTCCTCCTCCTGCACCACTTGTCATTCAGAGGGAACTGATAAAAACTGATGCTCTGTTAATGTCCTGAACCTGACCACCTCCTGAAGTTGCAGGTTACTAATATAATTTTACTGCCATTAAATGCTTTTTTGGAAACCTAAACATACATGCTCACACATGCTCACACTACTTCAGCCAACAGCCCATCCAGAAGCCGTAGTAACCAGCAGAGAAATTTCAGCCTGCTTGAATTGTAGTTTCCAAAACGTTCTGCTCAGCACATAAGATACTCTGGCTTTCAGTGAAACCGAGACTTTTCACTAAAAGCTCACTGTTCAGAAGGGGTAGTCAAGTATGCTGCGTTATACTGCAGTCAAAGCTTTCACCTTTTGTTTGTTTATGACATGCTGTCCACATTGTTCAGGATATGGAAAGGACTTGTGTTTTCTTTTAAATATACTTAGCCTCTTCCTCAAGATTTCAAAGTCAAGGTCCAAACTGAAATACACTTCTTTTAAAGTAACTTGATATATCTATGAACTGCAGTAAGGAAAATGAGAGTTAGCCTTAATTAATTAATTGGTCTGGGTACAAGATTGTTCACACCCACAGGCCTTTGGACCTCACTAACATTTTATTTTACAACTCAAGTGCTATTTTGC